CATATTGGTAGTATAAAATCATCATAGGAATATTTGTACTATGGAAATTGGTAAGTGCTACAAATCAGGGCTTTTCCTCTCTGGAGAGCTGGCTGTTAATATTTACCAGCACACCAGTGGTAGTACAGGAAGTAGAATACAAATGTAGAGAAGAAAATTAATAAGCTGTGATATTCTGGGGTTAGGACTAGACTTGGGGGTCAGGCTGTATAGGATCTTACAAAGCAGGCTAAGGAATTTTGGCTTTGGTTAATATTTAATTAGTTGAGATGCTTTTGGTTATAAGTAACAGAAAATTTTAATTCAAAATGACTTAAATAATAAGGAAGATGTATTGTCTCATATAATAAGAATTTCAAGAAGACTACCGAAGTGTTGGTAAATTTAGTCATTCACTAAAGACCCAGATTCTTTAAAATTTTTTGTTCTCCTATCCTTAGTATATTACCTCGTCTTCTGACCAGCTCAACATTTCTAAACACAATAATATGCAACAGCAGAACAAAGTAATTTATTCTTTCTTTTTGTCCTTGTAAGAACAAAGAAATCTTTCCCAGAAGAAGCCTCCAGTAGACTTCTTTGCATTTCATTAGTCAGAACTCTATCATCTGCCTAAACCAAGCGCTGACAATGGAATAGAATCTCATCATCTATCAATGTTTCACCAGTAACTCTCCCACTCAGCCCCATCCCCTCCGCTGGAACCAATCTCCCCTAAAGCTCAGAGCCACACATAGAAGGATAGCTACTTGAACATAATCAAGGTTCTGTAAGCAAGGAGGAAGAAGGGGGATGGACATTGGTTAAGCAACCACTATGTCTGAGAGAGCATTGGAAAAGAGAAAAAAAAGATCAAATTCTGGATCCTTCTGCCTCTGCCTCTGCCTCCTCAGTGCTGGGATTATAGGCATGTACAGTACGCTGCACCTAGTTTCAGTTATGCTTATACTTTTTTTTTATAAGACTCTTGATGTGAAATGATAAGCTACCCAAGCAACATTTATCAACTGCCAATTGGCTACCAATTCATTCATTCATTCAATAGATAAGGGATGAATTGGGTGCCATAGGTCAAATACTATTCCAGTTACTGTACATGAAATGGTGAATTTACTTCAAGGAGCTTCAGAGTCTAATGGGTGAAGCAAATATCAATCCAATGATCCACAAATATTTATTTATTTATTTATTTAGATGGTACTGGGGTTTGAACTCAGGGCCCTGTGCTTGGTAGGCAAGTACTCTACACCTTGAGCCATGTCTCCATCCCTAAAAATAAATTTATAATCCTCTTAAGTGTTAGAAAGGAACCCTGGATAGTTTTTTCTATTTTTTGAGTTGAGTTAAAAATTCACACATAGTGATCTTAAGTATACAATATGATATTCATGTTCAATAGCCACTCAGCAAGGTACAGAATATTTTTATTACCTTAGAAAGTTCCCTGGTATCCCCTTCTAGTCAATCTTTACTTTTCTCCCAATAGGTAAACATGGCTGATTTCTATTATCAAGATTATTTTTGCCTGTTCTTGAATTTGAATTTTATATAAATGGCTTTTTTTCTCCAACAAATGATTTTTTTTTTTTTTGCCATGTTGAGGTTTCAACCCAGGGCCCCCATGCATACTAAACAGGCACTTTACAACTGAGCTCTACAACCAGCCCTCAAGAAATGATTTTGAGGTCTATCCATATTGTGTTGAAAGGTAGTTTATTTAAAAAAATATATTCTATGATATGAACATTATAGGTGCCCATTTTTTTGTTTGTGGTCATTTGAGATGTTTCTAATTTGGGGCTATTATAAATGAAATTCTTATGAACATTCATGTATAAGTTTTCACGGACATATATTTTCTGTCTTCATTTTATTTTATTTTTTTTCAGAACTGGGGATTAAACCCAGGACCTTGTGCCTGCTAGGCAAATGCTGTATCACTTGAGGCATGCCACTAGCTAGCCCTGGACATCTATTTTCATTTCTAGGAATGTGTTTAACTTTAAAAGAGTTCTGGATATATATTATTTAGATTCACAGTCTTCAGTCCCAAGATTTCAGATGTAGTCTGAGGTTCCTAGGCACGTACACTACATCATTTTTAAACCTCCCCAGAACCACTGGTCTAAATTATAGTGGTGGTGGTGTGGTGGAAAGGAAGTTATTTTGGTTTGGTTTTCTTTTCCACCACAAAAGCATATAAATGCAAATAATTTTTCTCTCTTTTCTTTTTTCCCTGGTTAACAACAATATAGCTTTCTCTGAACATTTTCATTCACTCTACCTGTTAGGTCCAGTATAGAGACTCTAATTTTCTCTTGTGAAACACAGAGCTCTGGTTTTTCTGCTCTTGTTTAAAATAAAGTAAAAACCTAGAGAGCAACTTGAAGCAGCCCTGAGAACTGCTAAGATGAGTAAACAAAACAGGTCAGTAGGGTGGAAAAGAACTTTAGAACTTTGAACTGAATAGCAGATGAGGGTGTGTGGCCTTGTGTACATTGGTCGCTTTCACTGAAGTTCTTCCTATTCTTCTACCTGGCAGCAAAAAATGATCAGCTGTGTTCAGGCTGCTGTGACCATCTATATCAGACAGAGCATCTAACATAGTGACAGCCTGAATGGCTGCACATCACAAGAAAAGAGGCTCTTAGTTTCTAGGCTGAGAAACCAACACATATGATAGGGAAGGGAGTCACTTAATGGATCAGGGACTGGCTGAGCTGGGACCAGAACCCAGGTGGCCTGGCTCCCAGCCCAGCTGACCACACTGCTGCCCACACAGCCTGAGCTGACCAAAAACAAGCAGCCCATTGAGCAACTGCACAAACAACAATGAGTGATGGATGGTCAGAGTAAGAAACAGGCACAAAGCAACTGCAACCCCATCACTTCCTGGTCCCTAAATTTCTAGGCAGACCTATAATGTGTGGTTACTTAAATGACTTTGGCCAGCAACTTGGCCCAGATTTTGAAACTGGAAACTTTTTGTGGTCATTGTCAAAAGAAAAAGACTGCCTTGTTCTGAGGGTGGAGAATGTCTTTAACTTCATACCTGGTGCTAATGAGTCTGTGGTAGTGTGTTAAGACTAGGAAGACAGTCAAAAGATGAGCATAACTTGGTCCTGGAGGGCCTTGGTGAAAACAGCTCTTTATCTGTGAATATGCCTTCCCACTTAGATTTAGCTAACAAGAGGTGGGAGTTCAGTTAGAATCAGCAGAGGTCACCAAATCTCATCCTACTCCTCTCAAATTTGCCACTGAACAGCAGCCCAAATTTGTGGTCTCTGAATGCCTGAAGCTTAGGCCAAATGACTCTGCTTACTAACCTGTATTGTAGGTCCTGGGCCTGTCCCATGCAAGGTACTCTGACCTGTTTAGCAGCCATGCGTATGTATGTCTCTAGGCCCAGCCCTAAATCTTCAACTCTAAACCTAAAGGTATCCCCAAGAGACATAGCCATCTGGAAGTTTCATGTTTCAGGTGTCAGTTTCCTAGTCTGAGCTGGATAATTCTAAATAGCTATGCTCCATCCTTCCCAATCAGAAACTGAGAGCTTCAGGAAGCAGTGTGCAAAAAGAAAAGTTGATAGTAATACTTGTTTTTACATAAGGCCTAATGAATATAATTTAGAGAATAATCACTATTTTGAATATACAGACCAATTGCCAATTGTTAGGAATCTGAATGAAAATTTAGGATTTCTTTGGCTTAATTATAGCAGAGGCTAACCCCATTTTGGAGTTTGTTATTAAAGAGACATTACGGTAGCTTTTCTTTTTGCAGAACTGGGGTTTGAACCCAGGGCTTCATGTTTGTAAGGCAGGTGCTTTACCACTGGAGCCATACCTCCAGCTGTTTGCTTTAGTTATTTTAGATGGAGGTACTTGCTTTTTGCCCAGGTTGATTTGGACCATGATCCTCCTATTTTTCAGGCTTCCTGCTGTCACTGGGATGACAAACATGTATCACCACACCCAGATTTTTTTTCCCATTGAAGTGAGGTCTTGCAAACTGTTTTGCCTGGGCTAGCTTGGAACCGCGATCCTCTAGATCTTAGCCTCCCAAATATCTAGGATTATGACATAAGTCACTGGCGCCGGATGGCTTTTCTTATTTTATACAGTCCATATTCTAATATGTAGTCATTCATTTAACCAATATGAAAGATCCTACTAAATGGCAGCCTGTAGCCCATTGTAACCCACCTGGCACGTATATGAGTTCTGCCTTATAAAAAATAAGTTTATGAATTGTACTAAAATGTAAACTCTTTAACGTCTGAGATTACGTCTTGTTGATTTTTGTTTTGTATCTCCAAAATCACTGAGCACACTGCCTTGCACATAGTAGGGACTCAATGTATATTTGAGTTAATTTATGCTATAGAGTTGCAAAAGACATTGCAAACGAAAGCACTATATGACGTTTATTGATTGTGCTAACAGTCTAAGGCAAATGTGTCAATAGGGAAGTAAATATTAAGTATTTATAAAGAAGGGCATGTTCACTCAAACGTGACAGAACAAGGGGCATGCACAACTGGGCGGAGACTGGTTTGGAAGAAGCGTTTATTTTTCTCTGGTTAGTCCAGAAAGATTTCTATGTAGAGTTACTAGAATTTCAGTCTTCTAAAGTACTTTCATCCCTCTCACCTTTCTAAAACTACCCCGCCTCTTGCTGCTTCTTCCCAAAGGGCAAGTGATTCGACCCTAAAGTCTTAAGAGTCCACCCGGACCCCTCCAGCTCGCATTCAAGAATGAATCAGACCAGGGCTTTAGGGATGCGGGCCAGGAGAGCACAGGGTCACGCACGGGGCAAGCGCCAAAGTGGCCGCAGACCCAGGAGCGGCGCAGAAGGCGGGGCTGTTACGGGGAGGGGCGGGGCGGGGCGGGGCGGGCCAGGGAGGGAGGGAGGAGGCCGGGGGTGGGGAGCAAGGGGGGGGGCTTGGGTGTCACCACCAACCCGCTCCGGCCGGAAACTGGCGCTTGTTTCCGGCCGGACGGTCGAAAGCCACCGATCCCGAGCCAGCTGCCGGAGTCGGAGTGGCGACCGGGTGTGGAGCAGGCAAAAAGCCACTGGGAGCGACCAGTCCCGATCAGTCCTGTCTGGCTCCAGCTCCAGCTCCTGAGTGGAGTCACAGCCGCGGTCGCAGTGTCCGCCACCGCCTCCGGCTCCGTCGTCGTCGTCGGGGGAGGGGCCGGTCGGACCCCGGGGTCACTGCCGAGGAATGAGGAGAGGCGGCCGGGCCCCGTGCTCCGCCCCGGCCTAGGGCCTTGCCCCGAGAGTCGCGAGGGTAACGGAGAGCCCCAGCCCTGACACCTTCCCCGGTCTGTTCCCGCCGCTCCCGCCTCTTCAGAGTCCCAAACTCTGCCCCTCTGGTCTCCACTGCCCCCCTTCTCCTTCCTGATTGTATTTCACCTCAGCACCCCCTCCTCGCTTGACTGCTCCCTGCTTCGTCCCCACCTTTCCCCTCTTATGCCTGCCTTTCACCTGCGTCCCGCGCTCAGAGACCCGGGTTCCTGGCCTCCCGAAACTGGGCTGGGCAGTTTGGACGGTCCCCTTTTGGTTAGCTAGACTTTTGGGGACGGATGGTGGAGTTTTTTAGGGTGCTTAACATGTAGGCTACCATCCCCATGGTAGGATAAAGTTGACTTTAACGTCGCTATCAAAGTAAAATGAAAAGAAAACAAGCTGGTTCTCCTTATCGATAGGCAAGCCGAGGTGCGTCCAGTAATGGAGGGAGTGAAAAAAGATATGTGTGTATGAGAGAGCGAGAGAGCGAAAAAGAGAGAGAGCGAGAGAGGAAGGCAGGCTGGTTTTTGAACTTTAGAAAAGAGAAAAGTTGCCGTGAGCCGATGGAAACTTTAGAAGCTGGAGATGAGTAAGCCGGGGGCTGCGTGATCTCACTCTTCTCATAATTACTAGGTTAACGGTGTGGCTCTGGTCGGGATGGAATGGGATTTGTTTACTGGGCCGGCGTATTTTTAGCTTGTCGGCTCACAAGGACCAGCTCTTTGAGTTTCTCTCTTTTTCTCTCCCCGCTCGTGGTAGTGTGGCTGTCTTAACCTAGGTGGCTTCTCCGGGCATAATACAGATGTAAATATTGGAAAGTTGAAAGCAGCAGACTGGTGAAATTTTATGTAAGAGGTTCCCCCCGCCCAAACTTTATAGGGAGTTTTCATGAATGCAAAGCCAAGAATTAGCAGGTCTTTGACTTTTTGTCTTCTTTATCTTTTTATAAGTACTACATAAAATGTTTATTTAGAAAAGCAAGGCTGGTAATTTTTCAGTCTTTGGCTTCTGCTGTATATTTAGGAGATCTTTGAGGAGGCTGGAGCTCTTTGTCTTTTTGAACCTATTTCAAAGGTGGGAAAGGAGTGTAGAGAGAGGAGGTGGTGGTGTTTAGACTGGTACAAAGTAACTAATTCCTAAATAATTTTTAAAAAGATTTCTATATTATATAACTTTGAAAAATATTAAAAAATATTTCCTTCCTAATAAACGAGATTACATTCCTAATGGGGTGGAGAAGTCCGCAGGGACTTAGGCTGCTGTGGCCAGGGAGAATCAGACTTGTAGTTAAACGTTTACTGTGCACAAATGAATACATTCTAGGTAAATAATGAAGAATTAATTATTTTCTCTGACATTGTTTTTCAAGCAGGTCTTCTAAAGTTTAGCAACCAACGTGCTGTGCCAGTCTATTGATATTTTGAAGGCTGAACAGAACTGTAAAATAAATGAAACTGGTGTAGCAGTGTGTTCTAATTTTCACTAGCAAACTGGCATGCCTCAAAGCACCTCCCCCGACTAAGTGGCCAGTTACTATGTACTTAGAGATTGCAAATGAATGTAAATATTAGCTCATGCTAGGAATAATTGAGAAGGTAAATATGCTGAAAACATATATTCCAAAACCAAAATAGATTTTTTTCGATTTTCCCTCTCATTTTGGATTATCAGCATCTTTCTGTCAATAATTATCCATTAGCACGAATAATTTAGAATTGAGCAGATATGTTCTTTAGGCATTATGCATTCAAGCAGGAAAGAAAGTTGGAAGATAGTTTCCAAACTATTACTAATTATTTTGGTTATTGTTGCCTGATTGGCTTATCCCTTTCATTGAGTACCAAAGACTCCCTGAGGGGAGAAAAAAGGTGTCTGATGTCTTGTGTAAGGCAGAATGACCAATAATGAATGCTAATTGTTGGTTAGACATTGGTAGTGATATGTCACCAACAAGTTATATGTTCCTGAGACATTAATTGCTTAATTGCTCTGTCTTTTGAGATGCTTTAGAGAAAAGAGATTTGATTTGGAGACTAAAGTCTTAATTTTAAAAAATGACACGTATCCTCCCAGTCTTGACTATCGGCAGCTGTTTTAGTCTGTGTGGGTTGGTGCCAATATGATATTCGGGCAAATTCTATTTATATCTATACCTAGTAACTGTCCTTAATTGAACTGCATATATTATTCTACAGGGTGAGTATTGAAGGGGTTGAATAAACCTAGGAATAAGTGTATAGAGTCCAGTAATCCACCACTATTCTCAACTATTCTCAGTTCTCAGAACATTTTGTTTGGTATCGTGAGATTCATTGTAAATAACTGAGTTATGATGGAATAATTCAGTATTGAAAATAAGTTTTGCCGTTGCTTAGTGGGTTAAAGCGCCTGTCTAGTAAAAATAAGTTTTCAGCTAACTGGCACTAAGTACCACTTGTTAAAGCTTTGGAGCTCTTGATTATCTCAAGCATGCTAAGGATGCTGGCAGAAGCCATTATAGTATGCATGTACCTGTGTGTATGTCTGCACACTGGTGTGGGCATTTCTCTAGGGAAGTGTACCCTCTTCTTACCTCAAGCATTTATCTTACTAAAGGGAAATGCTCAAACAATGCTTTGAAATGTGATCTCAGCAGTATCATTCCTATGGAACTCAGGAGCTGTGGAATATCAGACTGTGAAATCTTCTGAATAGCTCTTGATAAATACAGATAATTAAAATTTTGTGTAATTGGAAGGTGGAGGCAAGGAAAGTTTTATCAAGAATTCTGAATTCAGTTGATTTTTTTAGTATGATAGATGAAAAGATCCTTTTCTTTTTAAAAAATAAATCCTTGTGCATAATGATTGTACACTCCTATGGATAAAACAGTGTCCAAGCTCCACTGACAGTCTTTGGGGAGATATGTAAAGCACCTGTCCTTTCCCTTGGAGCAGGGCATGGCAAGTAAAGGAGGAAGGTAGATTACTGGACGCTTTAACATTTAGGAACTAACCTCTAAATGAAACCAAACTTAATGTGCTACAAGTAGAGTATTAAGGGCTAAGAGAACTTGAAATAACAGACAGACAAACTAGGGGAGTTTTCTGAATCAGTGAATTTTGAAATGGGCTTGGAGGTTATGGATTAGTCATTAAAAAAAAGTATGGACTATGCAATCACATGGGCCTTGGTTCAAACATTGTTCTCTTTTTTACTATGTGACCTGGGACAAGTTACTTCTCTATCAGTAGCTATAAAATAAGCATGAACATTCAAGTAAATGAAATAGTTTTTCTGTAGGAGTAAAAGGAAAGAAAAGGATCTTCCAAAGAAAGTATAGAATGTGCAGTGTGCAGTGATGGTATGAATGACTAAGTCGTGTGTGTGGGAGAATACATGAGAGTGACTAGAGAGAATGTAGGTTGGTCAAGTCCTGGGAGGATGGTGGGGACTCAGAAGCCAGACTGTTGAGTGTTGATTGAAGGGTCAATAGAGTCATTGTAGGTCCTTGAACAAAGGATGGATTTAATGGTCTAGGAACTCAGGGACAAGGAGTTAGGCAGGCACCGGTACGTTGTGACTCTTGTGCTTCTCTTCTGTACCATCCTGGCCTGAAACAGCCAGGAGACATAGATTCCTTGTAGGAGTTTTTGTATTTACATACCTTGTTCATTGTGCTGAGCTCTGCCAGCTATGGCTGGCTTCTCCTCAAGAGCTTGTGGTAAGGATGGCATTATGCTTCAAGGGCATTTAACTCTCAGTTATCTCTGCTAATGTAGGGCATAGGAATTCAGAACTTAGTGAAGAAATATCTTACTTTAAAAATGCATTATTTTTAAAGCCAGGTTTATATTAGTATTTTGAGGTCATGAATTTATAATTCTAAATGAATTTACACTTCTAAGCCTGTGTTACCTGATGGTGAGGAGGATACACTGATGTCAAAGAGCAATCAATTTTGCATTAAGGATTTGATTTCAGCAGTCCACAAAATGAATGATCTGTTTGTGGATGAGACTAGGCTATACTGAGAATATTAGTGTGGACTAATTTCAGAATCTGTGTAGGTCCAGTGTGGCCTATTAGGCTGTCTGCCTTCTGCCTGAGACTATTGTCAGGTGATGTCTATGTTCCAGCCAGCATGAGTCGTCACTCACAGTAGCTGGAGGCATCTGCATTATGGTGCATGTTGAAGATCAAGCTGGCTCTCCCAAAGGTTCTGGACTCTCTAGAGGCTCCTCCAGATGTTAGCTTTGCTGAAAATCTTGTCAGTTTTTTCCTCTTGAAGGAGACTGCTTGGAAAATAGGGCCAATTAAAAAATGAATGGGAAGTGTCCACATTTAAGAAGTAAACAAAATCACATAGCTGTTCTTTCAGTTGACTTGCTTTCCTTTCATCTCTGCCACCTTTCCCCCCACCTCCTTGTAGTCATTACAAAACTGTGTTTGTGATGTCATGAGCACAGGTTATTACTCTTGAGTCAGAGATTGTATTATTTCTGAGCTGGAGATCAGAGGTAGAAAAGACAGGAATCTTATTTTATATAGCTAGATTGGGATTATTTAAAACTATTTTTTAGTATATCTTACCCCTTTATTTCCTCTAAGAAGTAGTTTTGGATAGGAGGAGTTACTAAACTGTTATTTTTAGTGACTTGTTATGAGTTCAACTCCATGCTAAGAAAAAAATGACAACTTTGAGCCCTTGAAAAGTTGACAGTTCAGTTGTAAGTGAATAGGAAAGAATGAATAACTATTGAGCTTCTATTAATATGCCAGACAAAAATTTTAAATGTGAAAATATATTATTAATTCCTTAGTACCATAGATATTTTGAGAGAAGAGTACTCAGGTAGTTATGGATGATGTTACAGAGAAATTATAACTTATTTAAAATCTTAAAAAAAGTATATTAGGGAATCTGGGTGTAGGGGCACATGCCTATAATCTTGGCACTCTTGAGGCTGACATAGGGAGTTCCAGACCAGCTTGAGCTACATAGTGAGTCCCTGAGGAATA